ACCGTATTGGTAAAAATTAAAGCATCATGATATTTACATTTTCTATGAGTCTGTCTCGATAGGTTTGATGGTTTGCTTGGGTTCATTCATTTCTGGTTAGGCAACAGTTGCATTTTTTATGGAATGGCAAAGCAAGAAAACAGGCTGAGGGCTGAGGCAAATAATTTAACTTTTTGCTTTTTTGTCTAACTACTGCCCGCCAAACACACACCGAAACTACGACGTTGGTACAACGTTCGAACAAGTTTTAACACCTCCTAACCAGTTATAACAACCAATATAGCAAGTTGTAACAACGGTCTAATACGTCATAAACACGTTAAGCCAAGATGTAACAACTTTATTACAAGTTGTAACATGCGGAAAATAAAAACAGTTTCGGTTTGTGTTTCCAGGGTGTATAGTTTTTTTACATGCAATTAGTTCTATTCAACTGCCTGGTGACAACGAGGCAACACCTCTCATGATATAAGGTGGCAAGAAATGAATAATAGTTCTCTAGTAGTTTGGAATCATGTTTCAACATGAAGTTAGGGGACATAATGTAATTGTACTTATAATAATGCTCTCATCTCGTACAACTTGCTTTATTCGTGGAGAAATTTTGCATTTAAATCCCTGGAAAAAAAAACAGAAAATTGTAAAATACAAGAACTTAACTTTTTAACGCATAAAGTTACAAATGAAATAATTTGATTTTTCCTTAACTACCAAACTTCCTGAGAAAGTCTATACAAATTCAGTACTATTTAAATTTTTTGAGCATCATCGAAGTCAATGTTAAATACAATAAATGGATATCATTTTTTGTTTACAGCCAAAAACATCATAGTTAGTACAATATTGTCAATTTTTTTCAGTGTAAACAAGTAAACATTTCTCATCAACATTTCTCATCAAGACTCATGATTAAGTTGACTCACATGAATTTTGGCTCTTAATAAAATTAATACAGTATAATAATATTTTTGGGCATCAGCAGTGGTTGTGTGTCAATTAAATCAATTTTTAACAGAATTTGACCAATTCAAGCATGTCTTAGCATAGTGATAAATTAAATAAAATTATTATTTAAATATTATAATAATTTATAAAGCTTAAATAAGTTTCATAAAATGTTATGCATAGAAAGTAACATAAGAAGATTTTAAATAGCTCATAAATTCTTAAAAAAAAAAAATAAAAAAAAAAATAATAAAAGTTGACACAAATTAATAAATCAAGCTTTGAATGTAATGGAATATTTCTGGTGGCTCTTAGTAGCTCTTTAAGATTAACTCTGGTAACCTTCAGGCCTTAGTGCAACACACCAAACCTCTGAGACACATCAGTCACTGTCATTAACCCAGTTACAGCCCTTCTCCTCAGCCAGGGAAGTCCACTACGGTCTCACCATAGCCCGTGCTACTTGCCCCGCTCCTGTGCCAGATAAATCCACTACAATCTCACCATAGCCCGTGCTACTTGCCCCGCTCCTGTGCCAGATAAATCCACTACAATCTCACCATAGCCCGTGCTACTTGCCCCGCTCCTGTGCCAGATAAATCCACTACAGTCTCACCATAGCCCGTGCTACTTGCCCCGCTCCTGTGCCAGATAAATCCACTACGGTCTCACCATAGCCCGTGCTACTTGCCCCGCTCCTGTGCCAGATAAATCCACTACGGTCTCACCATAGCCCGTGCTACTTGCCCCGCTCCTGTGCCAGGTAAGTCCACTACGGGCTCACCATAGCCCGTGCTACTTGCCCCACTCCTGTGCCAGATAAATCCACTACGGTCTCACCATAGCCCGTGCTACTTGCCCCGCTCCTGTGCCAGATAAATCCACTACGGTCTCACCATAGCCCGTGCTACTTGCCCCGCTCCTGTGCCAGGTAAGTCCACTACGGTCTCACCATAGCCCGTGCTACTTGCCCCGCTCCTGTGCCAGATAAATCCACTACAGTCTCACCATAGCCCGTGCTACTTGCCCCGCTCCTGTGCCAGATAAATCCACTACGGTCTCACCATAGCCCGTGCTACTTGCCCCGCTCCTGTGCCAGATAAATCCACTACAGTCTCACCATAGCCCGTGCTACTTGCAACTTTTGGTTCCGAGTAGTTGAATCTAAAACAACAACATGTCATTAACTACTGGGGGAAAAATGCACCAGAGAGCATAGATGCAACAAAACAAGTGACTCCTTGATAGAAAATAGACATTCCTAGATAAACAAGACAGGTGATGAACAAATGCATCATTTGATTCATCACGCTATTGTGATTTCTGTGTGTAAAGACAGATGATCATTACCGCAGTGTAATTACTGCCTCCACCATCCCCAGAGCACTCTTGGCCAGCATCCTAACTTTGGCCTAGCTTTGTGAATCTGCGGTCAACCCCAAAGGAACATCCATAAAAGAAAATGTAATATGCAGCTGATAATTAAGTGCAAGTGTAGAAAATGGGCGAAGCAAAGAGATGGGTAAATTCAAACAAAAACAGGCGTATATTAGGAAGAAATTGTGTTCCATTTAGAAACACTGGTGCAGAAGATGAATGGGCAACTATCCAGTGGTGGTGAGAAAAGGGTTAGGTCAGTAGGTCCACAGCCGAGCAGTCTGAACTGATGAAGAAGATGACACTGAGCGGATCAAGGCTGGCTGAGACTGAGGCAGCAATGAAAACCAGCAGAAACAGAATCACAAGTATCAAAGACCAGATGTTCTGAAAGTTTCTAAGAAAAAAGCAACATGGGCTCTATATTCAATGGCCCACTGTAGACGGGCTGGAAAATTCTAACTTGGAAAGCTCGACCCTCGCAAGATGGCCAGCCCAATAGGCAGGCCATCTTGCCGTCAAAACCTGAAGTCTAGCACTAACAACACACACCCATGGGTAACAAGAAGGGCCATCAGGGTCTAAAGACACCAAAGTCCATCTTGAGAACCTGCAAATCAATCAGGAAAACCACATACCAGACAAGAAGCCTCACACGGATGAAGGAAGACAGCCACCTGAACTGTCTCCCAGACGGTCAGGAGGGTCGGGCACAGGTGAAGTGTCTTATGATATAACCACTGAATCCCAAGTGCAGATGATGAGTCACAATAATGTGACTGAAGATATAATGACCAAACCACACACCAGATGATGATGAAACAATCGACTTGATAATGGTCCAAGATGGACCAAAACATCGTCATCACTTCATCTTCTGATGTATGGTTTGGTCATCACTGAATCCCAACTGCTCAGAAGTCAGATGACTCAAGAAGAGTCAGATCGTAGAAGAGATAGTCAACAACCCCTCAGAGTAGGTATCTCTCGCGTGGGGTATAGGGAAATGCAGACCAACCCCTGAAAAGCTAACAATGGCCAGTTCTTAGTGAAATAAAATGTTAGCCTACATGAAATATGGGTGGCATAAGCACAATTATGAACATAAATAACAAAGAAATGGTCCCTCGCAGAACTAATGTTACAGACAAAAAAGCAAGCGCCACTTAGCTGAAGAGAGAGCAGCAGGTGATGAGCCCAGCAGACTACAGGTTGAGAACACCAGGTGGAGGAGTAAACGGACAGGCTGGCTGAAGCCTCAGGTGACCTGGGCTGCCATCTGATAGCAGTCAGGGTATTTACTGCACAGCAATGATCATCATATTTATCAAGGGGTGCCTAATTTGCTTCATGCAGTCACTTGTTTTGTTGCACTTGTGCTCTTTGGTGTGTTACTCAGTTTTGTGATTGATCGCTGATTCCATCCTCTCCCCCCCCCTTCCCCTCCTGCCTCCCTAGTCAGCCAGTTACTAGTCCGGGACCCAGATTCATAAAGCAGTTTCACAAGTACTTACGAACGTGCACATCTTTCCTCAATCATTGACGGCTTTGGATACATTTATTAAACAGTTTACAAACATGAAAGCTTCCCAATCAACTGTTGTTATTGTTATAAACAGCCTCCTGGTGCTTCAGAGCTCATTGACTGTTTAATAATTGTAAACAAAGCCGCCAAAGATTGAGAAAAGATGTACAGGTTTGTAAATGCTTGCATAACTGCTTTATGAATCCAAATCCAGGCTTCTGGTAGGCAATGAATGGTTCCCTGAGGCCTGATGTTTTGGGCAAAGGCTTGATTGTACCAGAGTTAAGCTGGGAAATCACTGGGGAACCCTACCAGAAAAGGTTTCACAATTTCCTCCAAGAAAACATTTGGCAGCACAACATAAATAAATAAAAATAACTATACAAAACTATATACCAAACATTTGGTAATTATCCACCAAAAGATGTTTTTAAATGATAAAACCTGAAAAGTTTAAACCAGCACTGCAGTAAGAGTCATCACTGCATGAAAATACGTGAAACACAATTGACTTGAGAATGGTCCACGACGGACCGAAACGTCGTCGTTCCTTCACCTTCTAGTGTGTGGTCTGGTCAACCATGTGAAACAAACTGAACATGCAGAAGGTTTCTGCACTTATAATTAGAGCCAAGCCTTATACACCCATCAGAAGATAACTAAACTTCAGACCATCAGTTCTTTGTGTGTCTAAACTATGAAAGATATTCATCCTATTTTTTCTTAATTTTGGGGAGGCCAGCACTCGACCCATTGATTCCCTGAGTGTGCCCTTTACATATTTTTAAATTATTGTTTCAACCTTAACCTAAATTTAATTATCATGTTATGATAAAAGAGCACGAACAATTACGGATCAGAAAAGTAGAAAACATATAGCATCACACATTTGTAGTGTGTAAGTCACAGTAACATGGCTGAAAACTAGACGCCCAACCCATACGTCTGAAAAGAAAGGAAGTAACGACATTTTGGTCTGTCCTGGACCATCGTCAAGTCGTGTGGCCAAAAAGTCGTCACTACCTTTATTTTTTTTTTTAGCATATTAGTTGGGTTGGGTGTCTATCACATGCTTCATTATACAGTACTCCATTCATGCCATCAATGGTACAGTGGTCAATATATTTTTAAAAGTTGGATATACAAATTAACACACGACTCAGTATTTCATATTTTCCTTTTTTTTTTTTACCATTTTCAAGCAAATCTTTATGGATTATACCCCAAGTGCCATTCAGTATACATACAGTATATTGCCTCCTATTTACAAACATAAACAGCGGCAGGTTGTACCGTGTATAACACATTACGAGGGATTATCCATCTGGGAGCAAACCACACTACCTCTGATTGTAAAGTATACCACTTCTTTCCTTCTTTTCAGTCAAGTACAACTAAATAAACTAGAGTTTTAACATCATGCTATCTTTATTAACCTGCAGGAACTGCTGTCAGATGCCTTGGTAATGTATCTTATTTTGATCTAATTAGTTTGGGGTAACAACAAGCTATATGCAGGCGAGGAGTCACAATAACGTGGCTGAAGTATGTTGACCAGACCACACACTAGAAATTGAAATTCACAATCGACTTGAGAATGGTCCAGGACGGACCGAAACGTCGTCGTCCCTTCAATTTCTAGTGTGTGGTCTGGTCAACAAGCTGTATTTCAATCTCAAAGCATTGAATACGATCCCTCAGGAGGTTCTTGGAGCTAAAGGCATAAGTACCGTAGAGTCTTGTAATCATACCAGGCCCTGAGACTTGGCACAACTTACTGAGAGCCACAAGTACAGTAAAGAATTGTCATTGCACCAGGTTGAGAGACTTGGCACTACCCAACAAGAACCTGAACCAAACTCTAGCTCTCTCAGAAGACATGGGAAGCATTGAGATCAAAGACTGACCCAAAACTAATAAAGGTGCTTAGAAAGTCACAGGTAAAACATATCAAATTGCTGATCTTCAAAAAAAAAAACTATTGTTCGCTTTGTTTCTTAATTTAACAATAAGTAAATAACCGATGCTATAATTCTCCTAACTGCCACAAATTGGCAGCTCAGGGTCTCCTATGTGCATGGTCCACCATCTTCCTCACCTGAGCTATCATCTGGCGACAGCCGAAAGAGTTGCAGCGAGAGATGTCAATTTATTCCCGTCATTTGCCTCATTTCTAATTTAATTTACATATTAAAATTAAGCAGTGATTTGTTTTGTTTTGCCTGTGACTATCAAGAGAGTTTCTTTGGTTTAGGGTAGAGCTTTGATCCTCATGCTTGACTCGCCTCTTGTAAGTCGCGCCAAGTCTCCAGGTCTGGTATGATTACATAGCCCTATTGTGCTTCTGGCTCTCAGTAGGTCATGCCAAGTCTCAGGGCCTGGTACAATTACAAAGCCCTACGGTACTTGTGCTTTAAGTCCTGAAGACCAAATGATGGGCTCACATGGAAAGAATGATATACAGGGTAAATTGTCTAATTATACTGAAGGTGCTTTCTCTCTGCATTTCAACAAAATTACTATTCATAATAATTAACTAATAAATATGTAACTAGATAATTACCATAACATTATGTCCATTATACTGACCCTTACCCAGTTTCCTAACACTTAAATGACAGATATAGTTTAGCCAGACCCAACAAAAAAGAAAAATATTATGAAAATGTAATGTTTGTAATGGTAAGAAAAGTACCCTCAAAAAGTCTTATTTCATATTTACTTTTGTGTTAGCTTGATGTTTGTGCTATAAACCAGTCACAAAATTGTCATAAAAAATCTATTAAAAATACAAAGGTCACTTACTTGTTAACATTTTGTATGTTAATTTTAACATTTTTGTTATCTATCACTTCACGTAATGTGAAGTGATAGATACTTATACAAAAGCAATGAAAAAATTACGTATCTACCTTAGCGTTGTCCTGGAAAATGTGCATTGTTGATTGATATTCTATTTAGAACAGGAGTTTGAAGAGCAAGCTCATCTTATCCTGGATGTAAAGGTATGGAGGTGGCAAATTAGTGTCTTCCGACTCACCGACATCTAGCGATTGCAATTGGAATTATCAGGTGCCAATCAGCATTGAAATACAGTACAGTACTGGCACAAAACAATACATCTCCATTTGAAGTTCTTTGTCAAAACTGTAGCCCCGCACTCAGGCTACAGACGAGCCTGGCCTCAAGCTGGGCTCGGGAAGTAACGCCTGAAACCCTCTCCAGGTATGTTCCAGGTATGAACTAAATACTTCACACGATGCATCCGTGCTGTGAATACTGTAGCCCGCACTGAACACAGCACACGATACATCCGTGCTGTGAATACTGTAGCCCGCACTGAACACAGCACACGATACATCCGTGCTGTGAATACTGTAGCCTGCACTGAACACAGCACATGATACATCCGTGCTGTGAATACTGTAGCCCGCACTGAACACAGCACATGATACATCTATTAATTTGAGAGTTAAAACTGAATTAAATCAGTTTCATGAGTAAGATTACTAGACAATTGGGGTATCATCCATTTTTCACAGAAAATTGGTAATTCTTTCAAAATCTAAAATGCTCATACAACCATGTAATACTTTCAAACAACATAAGAATATTTATGATTGCTGGAGTAAATAATTGGTTTATACATCATACGCATGAATAATTATATCCTTTAATAAATTATTAATTTATAATACTAAATTTTAGCAATAGAGTAGACACTAGCTAGTATATTGCATCCGCTGTTCATGAATTGCCTAGTACAGTTACTTAAATTAATATTGTTATCTTAGTTCCCAGTATCATGCCTTCAAGACCTTCGTCTGTCGTCTACATGCTCACTCGAGTATTTGTCATGCACTGAACACTGCTCGATATATGCTTAAATAATGGTAATCACTCCATGTTTTGTGCCTTACCTTTCTGCCATTTTTGCTATATAGCTGTACTGACTTAGTGCATTCTCCTAATAATTACCTTACCTTCATGCTGTTTTTGAAAGCTTAAATATGTCCACTTAACACCAGTAAGAACCAATCTGGCATTTCTGGTATAAAGGAAAATACGGGTAAACTGGACTAGCAGGCAACAGCCCACATCAGATGTGTATCTGTGGTATTTAATAATATCAGCAGGCTGGCCGACCCCTCACAGTGTTCAAGAGAGAACTGGATAAGCACCTCCAAAGGATACCTGATCAAACCAGGCTGTGACTCGTACGTCAGGCTGCGAGCAGCCGCGTCCAACAGCCTGGTTGATCAGTCCAGCAACCAGGAGGCCTGGTCGACGACCGGGCCGCGGGGACGCTAAGCCCACGGAAGCACCTCAAGGTAACCTCAAGGTAGGCTGTAGACTTTTCTGGAGGCCTGCATAAGGTACCAGGAAGCAGTCAAAAATGAAATAACCTTATCTCCAATATGATAGCCAATTGCCAGGAGGTAATTGTTAACACTAGAACTTTAGATTCCATTGTACACACACTGACATTTGGTACAATGACTGTATGATGAGGTGGGGAAGAGATCCCAAAGGTTCCACTATATATTCTTCCCCCTTAAGTTCCTTAACAAATGTAACACCTTTATACGAATCCAAAGTACAAGGCAGGTCCAGGAACATAACCAAGTGCACTAGCCAATGCCTACTGCATATTAAAATTACACTTTACAAAAACAAATAATATTAAGACCCTTTTTCAGTTTTCACAGATGTTATTTTTTTCTTTGGTGATGATTTCTGCCCCTTTGTCCGCTCACTTTCTAATTTCCTTCTGGCAGGTTTAACCACATGAGCTGATTCAGAGATGCCGTCAGTGGGCTCTGTTTTAGGCTCTGTTTTGGGTTCAGCTTTGGTAGGAGACTTGTAATTTGTAAGTTTTACATGAGTAAACACAACTTCTTCATCATCTAGTTCTGTGAGAATACCCTTAAGATAGTCGCGAAATTTGCGGAGAGCTGAATAGAACGGGACTTTGTCTAAAGCTCTTGGTAACTGAGCACATCTAGCTGATGAAGACGGCATGACCCATATATGCTGTAAAGAGATAGAAGTGATCTTAAAACACAGAATACACATACTCTTTGATATACTTTGATAAACATTAAACATTGTACTGAAGCTGTACAATGAGACTGAACCCGCATTCCTGAACTCCTCGGCCACATGCCCGAGGACACGGACATGGGTACGATCCCATTATGCAGCTTCAATAATTCTCAAAGATTCATCCCATTTTCGTAATTTCATTGTGCTGCATACACATGAACTGGTTTAACATTACAGTAAATCACTCACACTCTCATTATCTGGTCATTTGCATCTGCAAATTATATGAGAACTTTTTCTTCACCTCAAACACTATTTGCCATAACACTAGGCAAATCAAAATCAAATTGTAGTTAGTGCAATTTGCAGGAAATTGCAGTTAGTGATTGGAACACAAGAGGAAATTGCAGATAGTGATTGGAACACAAGAAAAAATTTCAGATAGTGATTGAAACACAAGGAGGAAATTTCAGATAATGACTGGAGCACAAGAGGAAATTTCAGATAGGGACCGAAGCAGTGATAAGGTTAGCCAAAACTGTAAGATAAACTTTGTGAATTCCCATCTTTACAAAGTGCAATTGACAACTATACTATAATATTATAATAAAGGAAAAAACAAAAACCATATAACTCACAGTATTAGTTCCTTCAACCTTTTCCGGTTGCTTTCCAAAGCAGAACTGCTTCTTACCAGAATATATTTCGTATATACCTTTCCCATTAAACACGGCTATAAGAGGCTTATATTTCTTTAACTTGGCTCGCAAAATCTTGCCACCTGCAAACAAAAACAAAAATTACAGGATTAATGTTCATTTGATACATTTCCTACAGAGCAGAATACATGGTAAATTTATTCTACTTTGACATCTAAACATTGTTATTATCATAATCAGAAACATTAGTAGGTAACAACCTATACAACAAACATTTACTTTTTAAGAAAAATAGTTTAATTAAATGTGAATTTCATAATTCTAAACAACAGTCAACATGTTCGTTAAATAAAAAAAATTGAGTCAGGTACTGCTTTAAGCCATATGCTATTCCCTTTCAAAACAACTTTTCTTCAACAAACTTGTCATACTCCCACCAAAACTATGACATTGCTACAGTGTTCGAACAGCTTGTAAACACCTTTTAACAAGTAGTAACAAGTATCTAGCAAGTTGTAACAACTTTCTAACACGTCATAAAAACTGATTTCTGATTATACTATTCCTTCCCGATTCATCTTACTAATGTCTTTTTCCACAAATTTAGAACTAAACAAAAATATAAGCAGCAAACCTTCTTTGATCTCTTGGCGTGAAAGATCCGCAGAGCCTTTTGTTGTGCGAGCGACCATGTTTGTAAAACCAATACCATATTCCAGTAACCGAAAGTCATCATATGCGTTGAAGGGTTCTGGGATGAGTCCTGATAAATACATGCACTTCCCTGAAAAAATAATAATAATAAATGTGAGGTAAAGAAGTTACAGTTGATGGTAAGCAAGTCACACAAATTATTTACACATACTGTAACTATATACTTTAAAAAATCTGGCATTTATGAAGAATATGGATTCAAATTAGCTTTATGGAAAATACAGACTAAAAAAAATTTCCTCAACAATAATTATAAAAGATTTTCTTAAATCATGCACATAAACCATGATAATGAGTTGATGGGAACAGAAACATTAAAACAGCGTCGCATAATGTATGTCACAATAACTCGGCTGAAAATTTAGACAACCTGCAAATCTGAATATAAAGAACGTGACAATGTTTCAGCCCATCTTAGACCAAGTTATGTAAAAGAATGAGCAGTAAAGAAAGTCATTTTATGAGGTAAGAAAGTTACTTCAACCTTTTTGCCTTTCACCTCATATTTTTACCTTATATAATGACTTTGCCACTCTTTCTTTATACCACTTAATAACGGTCCAGGATGGACCAAAACATCATCGGCAGACAATGAGTCACATTAATGTGGCTGAAGATACGATGACTAAACCACACACCAAAAGATGAAGAGACCATGTTTTGGTCCGTCCTGGACCATTATCACAATAGGCTTGATAATGGTCCAGGATGGACCAAAACGTCGTCATCTCTTCATCTGGTGTGTGGTTTGGACATCAAAACATCATCACTTACTTTATTTTCAGCTTTGTGGGTTACGCGTCTAAACGCTTTACTGTTAAATGGTGTGACACAAATAGGTACAATTTTGCTTCAGATATATTTTGAGACTCGTAGGGCATTTTTCAGTGACCAAACATCATCAGGAGCAGTTCAACATTAACAATTTTGCATGAACACATTTACATAAAAACTTATTTTTTCATATTAGGTATTATTTATCATTATTATATCATGTATTACATATTTTACTTAAAAGTTGATGGTACTCACAGAAATGGTTGCCAGGTCCAGCATAATGATGTCCCTTGTGAGCCGCGAAAAGCCCTGGATTTATGCCAATCTAGGAACACAGTCGACACTTCAATGTACAGTGTGGTATTGTAACTACTTTGGCAAATTATACATCAATTATCATCAATAATAATAATTATAAATTATAAATAGTACTAGGAACATGGAGTTCAGAACAGATCTAATCTATAAGTAAATACCACAAACACTCTACAATCATCTTTAATTATTTTCACATTTGTTGTTGTTCCTGAACAACAAAATTTCAGAAAAGTTATCATTTGAATTATCATCACTTTGTTTGCAATACAGCCACATATAACACTACAGCCCATCTTCCAACAACAATAGTAGTGTACTTATAACAACAATTTGACCAAACATAGAACAGTTGTCAAACAACAAACAGTTGGGCCCAAAAAATGTTTATGTTTTGCACTACTGAATTACCCCACATAATATGCTAAATGGAACAAAAGCTAAAGAACCTAACCTGTCCAAGGCCTACTATTTATTATCTTAGGCCTAATTTAAGCTCAACATGGCACATTGTTGTACTAAAGTTCATGAAGGATTTCTGTTTTTTTGCCCACTACAAAACTAATAGTTCATAATCATTGTTATCTGCAACAGTCCGTTGCTGTACGGACTGGTTGATGCTGTCAACCCTTCAGATGGGCTGACGGCCCTGACGCCCATGCAACCGGCCCAGCCTGTCGACGCCTTTACCACCTTGACACCTATGCAGGTTGCCCCAGTCCACCAAAACCACCATAATGGCTATCACTAATACTTGCTATATATGCTGTCATTTCCCGAGGATGGGTTGAATACCAGATTAACTATACTGTACGGTATATCATAGAACTGGGGAATATATAATTTAAAAGTAAAGTGTTATGACAACTTACAATGAGTATGTCCATATTGGGTCCCAAATGGTCAGGTAAGGTCTTTTTGGCTACTTCCTCCTCAGGTAAGCCATCAAAACGCTCCACCTTCTTTCTCTGCTTTTGAGGAGACGGAAGAGGTAAACCATCGGGTCCTATTTCAGGTGCAGACCTCTTGTTTTTTTCACCCGGTGATTTTTTACTTGATTTTAATCTGCAAAAATTGATAAGTTGCCATTTCTAAAAAATATGATTTATTATTTCCATATGCATATAACTTCTTTACAGTATTGTATTATGTATTCATTTGATATTTCAGATTCACATTTTCTGCATTTATATCAGTTCTGTATACAGTATTGTGGGATTAAAACAAATTCTCAAAATTAAAATTGCTGTGAAATCACTCGAGTAACAAATGCTAAATATTAGCTTAGCATTGGTAGCTAAGGGTCTTAATTTAGGGATTTAGGGGTCTTAAATGGGGATTTAAGACCCCACAAAAGGGTCTTAAATCACGTCTTTCCAGTGGTGCACAGTATACAGGAGACCGGCGTCATTGTTACCTGGTTGATGGGGTTCTGGGAGCTCTTCTACTCCCCAAGCCCGCCCCGAGACCAGGCTTGACTTATGTGAGTCAAGAGTGTTGTGGGATGTGGTACATTTCATGATCAAGTTTGCTCCACATAGCCAAACAGCCATGTATTTTAACAATATGGAAGTCTGGCCTCTCCATATGTTCCACACCGTAAATTTCCTGGGTTTTGGGGGCCATTCAGTGATGTGAAAACTTTTTTACAATCATTTCATGTTTTCTAAGTTATTTCTTGGGTTATAACTATAAATTTGGTATCAAAAAGTTTACAAATGAGTTCTCTAACCCCTACAGTGATATAGCACCTTAAGGCATTTGACAGGTAGTGCAAAATATTTTTGAATTTAGCAATATTTTTATGTTTTCTTAATGTTTTTTCATTCTTTGTGATTTGAAATGAAAAATCTTGAGTTAACAATATGACATTTTTATTTTTTTTTTTAAATTTTAGTTAATTTTAGTAAATAATTAACCCTGGCCCAAGGAAGTTGTTACATAAAACAGGTGCATAGTGCAGGTTTCTTTTTTAATTGGTTGTAAGTAAACCAGAAGTATTAATTTGCCTAAATAGCATCTAATGAGTATGAGTCATAAGCAGCCAGGTATAGGATACAGGTTACCTTGTGTTGGTTCAAAGGATCAACATCCCTGCGGCCCAGTCTGTGACCAGTTGGTGGTCTGGTCAACCAGACTGTTGGATACAGCTGCTCACAGCCTGATGTATGAATCATAGTCTGGTTGATTGGGTGCACTAACCATCCACACACAGAAAAAGCTATTCAATATATTTTTTTAGTGACTATGAAATGGGTAATCCCACCAATCAACTACTGTCTGCAGACAAACTGAAACCCCCTTGAGAATAACTCTAAACTATTTCAGCCAAAGCGATGAAATAAAGTACAAATAACAAAATGATTAACTCACTCGTCGCCCTCACGCTTGATTCTCGGCTTTCGTTTTTTCTTGACTTTGGAAACGTCTGCATTTTCCTGCAGTGGCGAGCCTCTGTCAATACCATCCATAGAGTGGCCCTCAACCTTCCAGCCTCCAGCCCCATTCATAAGACCATGACCTTGACCAAACATTGCAATATTTAGTTGATTACCAACATCGCCATGACCAAAGTACGGACTAGTATGCATCCGAAGATCAACTTGCTCGTGTTGAGGATAATACTCTTGTTTAACGCAGATATTTTGAAACAGTTTTGCTTCCTGACTCACCCCATCTTGCCAGTCACACTTCTCTTGCTTTACGCTGTTAAATGAGAAACGAGAATGAGACACACACACACATTTGGGTTATGAAATATGACAAAACATAAATTGAAAACTCTATTATGAAAACTGTATACTAGTAGAGTAAATTTGGATTGACCCCTGGGTAAGTGAATCTATATTTACAATCAGGATATAGTGTATGGATAATCCAGTCAAAACTTCATGGTTTATTAACTGGAATAAACCATGTCTCTTGACATGATCTCACATGCATTAATCCTTAAATGGCACAGATAAAGTCACACATGAATAAGGATACTTACCTGGTAACAAATGAAGGTACACAAAATGTCATTGGGGGGTTTCGAGCACAGGAGGTACTTACATTTAAGGGTTAAAATAACCTCTAGATTGTTAACCAAACCACACACTAGAAGATGAAAAGACGCTGACGTTTCAGTTCGTCCTGGACCATTATCAGGTTGATTGTGATGAGACGAGGGAGGCACGGGTATAAGTAAGCCAAGAGAGGTAAGGAGGAGGAGACCTTAGAGGAAGGTAAGAGCAAGGCAAAAGGTATGGAAGGGATAGGTAAAATAAATGGTGTAAGGGGTAATAATAGGAGTAAGAATGGGAACGTAAGAAGAGAAAAAACGATAGGTAGGCTTATGTTAGGTCACGTTTGTTAGAAAGTTTAAAACATTTGAGTACTGTATGTACTGGGAAAGGGAAGAGTCAACAGCAACAAAGCAGGACTAAGGTTCATGTTGGGTAGGGAGATAACCTCTAGGTTACCCGACCACTGTGGGATGGTGTTTCCACAAGGATTTAAATATGAACACAAGCATAAAGTGGACAGTGATATAATCTAAACTGTTGAAAATAATGACTTAATCCACACATAAAAAGACAGGACAGTGATGACATTTTGGGCCATCCTGAATCCTAATCACACAATGATGTTTCAGGCCATCCTGGATGAAAATCACGTCCATAGAATGTGATAAGGTGATAAGGGTCCAGGGTGAACCTAAACACTATCACTTTCATTTCATATGCATGAGTTGGGTTATCAATTTTCAGCCATATTATTGTAGCTCCCTCTCTGCATAGTGAGACTTTCGTCTTCCATTACCTCAACAAATAAAAACTATCTTCTACTTACAAGGATACCCAGTGGGCACAATATCTATGAATAACCCAAATTCAATGTCAAATCAACATTAATTCAACACGGAATAAATGTTTTCAACCTTAATTTAGTGTCAAACTAAGGGCATTCTTGAATATTATGCCCACTGAGTACATGTTAAAAATGGAGAAATTACAAAACTTACCCAAGTAATGCTATTTCTGAATCGTGGAAGCCATTATGGTGGTTTTGGTGGACTGGGGCAACCTGCATAGGTGTCAAGGTGGTAAAGGCGTCGACAGGCTGGGCCGGTTGCATGGGCGTCAGGGCCGTCAGCCCATCTGAAGGGTTGACAGCATCCCTGAGGGAAATTGGTTTAAACTTTAAACCATTGAACCTTTTTTATTTCAACATTGGTATAAGAAATCTTTACCCACCTGTGATTGAGAAAACCCGAGAGAATAATTCTGTATTCAACAGATACAATATCTCGTGTTATCCTACACAACACAATATTTTGTGTTATCCTACACAATACAATGATGAAGTGTTAAATTATATTTTTCAATATATTTTTGGTCTAACACCAAAGACAATCTTGAAAATTCATGTTTTTAATCAAGACTTATTAAATGAATAGCTTCTAGTGGCTACAATTACATACCCACCCATCTTGAAATAGGAATAAAACCAAATAGCACTAAAGTACAAATACTGTATTTATATGGGCACATTAACCTACACCTGATTGCCTCTGTTCACCTAGCAGTAAAGAGATATCTGTGAGTTAAACAACTGTTGTGGCTTGCATCCTGAGAAGCGTCAGTACTAGGTACCTGGGAGCTAGGCAACTGTTCTGGGTTGCATTTTTGGGAAGGTCGGTTCTTGGTACAGAGGAATGCATACGAGATGCTGCCACATAAGCTCTCCGGGATGAAGGCTCACTTAAAGTTGACATCTGCCATTAACAAACATCACACTCCTGCACTGTTCTGCAGGTGAAAGACCTTGGACCCAACAAGAGGTATGTTGGAGTCAACATGAGTGACCGTCAAGGCAAAAAAAAAGAAAAAAAGACCACTCCTGAAAGCTGCAAACATCAGATTCACATATTGAGGTGAGACTTGCCAAGGGGTGCGACCAATGGGTCTTAGAAACATGAACTGTGTATACAGTATACAATCAAATATATATCTAATATGCTGACTACTACATTTGAAAAATTAGTGTGAAGATCTGAGAGCTTGTCTGTCAGATCTGAGAGAAAGAGCTTGATCTGAGATTGTCTCCAATCTTTTGTCAAATGATTAAAGACAATCTGAAAGTGCTCAGATTTTCACACTCATTATTCAAATGTAGTAGTTGGCATTTAAAGAGATCAATAAAGATGCTTACTTTAATGCAAAATAATTGATAACTTACATATTGAAGTATGACTGACCACTGTCATTTTGTAGGACGGTGTAAGTTGAGCTAGTTTCCGGTTGCATCCACCATCGCACCGTCTGAGAAGTTGATTTATAGTAAGTACAGAATAACAGAGTGGAATTCTAATCAAGAAACGACTAAAGAGTAATCTTTACTACCATCGTAACAGGCATTTCATATCCTTAATTATGCTTAAAATGGTTTTATTGAATAGGTGTGAAGAATGCTGTTACAATGTGGTACAGAATGTATATATATAAAGATTTCCTTAACCCTTAGGGATTTCCTTAGGGAGCCGGCCGGCCGAGCGGACAGCACACTGGACTTGCGATCCTGTGGTCCCGGGTTCGATCCCGGGTGCCAGCGAGAAACGATGGGCAGAGTTTCTTTCACCCTATGCCCCTGTTACCTAGCAGTAAATAGGTACCTGGGTGTTAGTCAGCTGTCACGGGCTGCTTCCTGGGGGTGGAGGCCTCGTCGAGGACCGGGCCGCGGGGACACTAAAAACAAAGCCCCGAAATCAACTCAAGATAACCTCAAGATATAACCCTGAAAGTGTGGTCATCACCACGTGTTGCTCATCTTGCCAATAGTCTTCATAAATGTTCAAATACCATTGCTGCCCACATGGTCCCAATCCCTTAGTGGTGTCTCTGAGGAGTCACGAGTATGTCAAGAAACAATTTGGAGTTGGATTTCAGTTCCTGACCCCAGATTCATGAAAGCACTTACGCAAGTACTTACGAACGTGTACATCTTTCCTCAATCTTTGACCGCTTTGGTTACATTTATTAAACAGTTTACAAGCATGAAAACATCCCATTCAACTGTTGTTATTGTTATAAACAGCTTCCTGGTGCTTCGGAGCTCATTAACTGTTTAATAATTGGAAACAAAGCCGCCAAAGATTCAGAAAAGATGTACAGGTTCGTAAGTGCTTGTGTGAATCTGGCCCCTGGTCTCTAATAATACGATCGTAGCATTTACCTGGGGCCCACATAAAGATCTTTTCTGTACCGTACAAATTTATTCTGGCATTCTTTTTACTTTTGCACATATACTCCTTACTTGTGATTATATATCACATGGAAAAAATAATTTAATCTTGTCTCCAATCATAATGTAATGCTGATGAACGTCAGACATGTTGACCACTACCCAGATCAAAATAACAGGTACACCTGCTGTTACCAGTTGACGTCTAGAGTGTCATCTTGCAGGCTCTCCGCTCAGCAAGAGCAGAGAAAATGCAAAAAAAATGTCAATTATTTTATTTGTGCCTTTTTTTATACTAACTTTGCACTCTGCTTAACCAATAGAACAACTGGACTATATGTAATATAACATTAACAAATATTTTGTGCATTCCTATAATGTATACATTTATATAATGGGATTGAACCTGTATCCCTAAACTCCTCAGGCACATGCACTACCGAATGAACCATGATGGTCTGAAAGTATCTCTACTTCTGGTTGAAATACTTATGAGGCCATTATGGTCCAGTTGGTAGTGGGTGTTCCTGAGGAGTACATGAATGCAGGGAGGCCTGGTCGACGACTGGGCCGCGGGGACGCTAAGCCCCGGAAGCACCTCAAGGTAACCTCAATGTTGATCTCTTCATGCAGATTCAATATTATCTCACATATATGTCACATTTTTGTGATTTTTTTGTGCATACTTGAGGTTATCTTGAGATGATTTGGATACTGTATACTTATTTATTTGATGAACGACAAGGAAAGATCAGGTACACACTTGTTGATCAAGCACGTTTTCCTTTTCCTCTCTGGTAAGTCCATTTGCATTCTGAGGTGCTGTATCTCTGTTCTCGGTGTAATCAGACGTATATTCATCATATGTATCTGACGTGTGAGCCATCTACAAGAGAAAAAATGTATAATAAAATATGTACATTCAGCTGAAAAAAAAATCAGAACATAAGAACAATGAATTATTAGAATGAGAATACAATACTGTATATAAAAACACTGCAGCCAATAGGAAGTAATATACAGACATATATTACTTGCATATCACACTGTTTACACGCATATCAAGGCAAAATGCCTTGCTGTGATCTCTTCATGGCAAACACTGATCCAATATTGGGTTAACATTACTCAACATCATTTAAGAGTGTGTGTTCATTTTATCGACTCATTGACATATTACTTTAGCGCTCAACAACACGATTGCTCAATGTCTGCTGGTACTAAATCCTACCCTTGCACACTGCAGACTACAAGGCATGGCATATGGCAGACAAAGGGATTTGGCAATTATAGTACAGTATTTGTTTTTAATCGACTGATATTCAGTTAAATTTAGCGTAGGAGACATGCTGCTATAATATAAGCAAAACCCACCTCAAATTGCTCCAAATGTTCCTCATTTTCCAGTGATGCGCCAAATTCTTGTTCATAAACATTACTGTCCTCCTCATCTTCACTGCAATGTGGAGAAGGTTTGACTTCGGGTACTTGCGTCATGTCCACCCACTCATCGTCTTTCATTACCTCGAGGCCTAGTGCTCCACGCTCACTCTCAGGCACTTCTTCTGATACTGGAGCTTTCTCAGGCATCTTTGCCTGCAAAATTATAGCAATTAAACATGTATCTAAAAATATGTATCTTATTAAATAAAACTTCAACAGCCCCTTGATATGCATGGTAATGGAGAAGACAGATTCGATGAGAACTTACTATATGCAACACTTGATTGCACATTAATGGAGAACACAAACTCAGTGATAAAATCCAAGAATCTTATTGAAGATTCTGTGATTTTATTAAATCCACGTCCCTAAACTCATCAAGCAAGCACATGCACTATCAACTGGACAATGACAGTGCGGTGCCAGAGTTTAGAGGTGCGAGTTCGATTCCGTTTTATGGCTTTAATTTCTATTCTTATCAGAGGAACATGGAGAGCACATGCTGAAAAAAAAATATTTTAGAGGATATCCAAGATTAGTTGGTCCAATCCCTGGCACTGACACATCACTAAAACTTACTTTGAGTTTTGGGGGCAGATGATTTACAAGATGGTGATACAAGTCTTCTCCTACGGGACAACGACCAAGAATATATGCAATCCAACAAGCTTTGCACCTGTTTTTGGAGTTATCTCCAAGCACATAACAACTGAAAATAAGAAAATGTTCACAGCACATTAAAAGGTTTTTATATACAGTAAAAGAATGAGTCAGTTGGGGTGATAAAGTGAACAGATGGAGGCAAAATAAGTCCATTAAGCAAGTAAATCTATAATTACAAGATATAATATCAAATTAAAAAAATAGAACTAGATATTCCTAATTCCTGCATAATGACGTCATTGGGCAGCAGAAGTGTTAATACGCAATGAAAATCACAACAGTGTGATGAAAAATGAATAAATATTGAGGCTATATGAGGGTATCGAACCCACGACTCTGATTACATAAGGCACACTTACTACGTACTACGATGGGCTTAAGCGGATCTCAACCAGATAGACTACTTGACTTATACGATGTTTGGAAGGCACTGTCTGGTACCACAAGCCAAGGTATATGAGATACCTTGCCCACACTCAAGTGTCGATAGTGATTTCGTAAAACTTGACTTGTGGTACTGGATGGTGCCTTTCAAACTTCATACAAGTAGTACAGTACTTTTGATTGAGATGCGCTTAAGCCCGTCATAGTCCAGTCGGTAGTTCATGTGCCTTATGTTATCTTGAGGTTATCTTGAGATGATTTTGGGGCTTTTTTAGTGTCCCCGCAGCCCGGTCCTCGACCAGGCCTCCACCCCCAGGAAGCAGCCCGTGACAGCTGACCAACACCCAGGTACCTATTTTACTGCTAGGTAACAGGGGCATAGGGTGAAAGAAACTCTGCCCATTGTTTCTCGCTGGCGCCTGGGATCGAACCCGAGACCACAGGATCACAAGTCCAGCGTGCTGTCCGCTCGGCCGACCGGCTTGTGATCAGGTTCATACCTCATACAGCTTCAAGATTTATTCATGATGTTAATATGTTATGAGAAAAAGACTTCCATATGACCAAGAAGAATAAGCTTGAAGGATAGACTATAGAAAAGCTGGATAGTTATGATGAATGAGATAATAATGGAAAGAAATAGTTCATAAGTGCTTGAAGATGAGCTGCCAACTGAGGGTAATGTCGTTTGGGAGACGTCAGAACAAGTGGAGGCATGGACATCATTTATTAAAGTAACAGGGTAAGCACAGTGACTCTGGTGAAGGGGGAAAATTCTTACATCCTGGTTTAATGCTTAGAATAACTGGCAATCTCTACAAATTAACCACTTTGGCAGTCCCAAGAGTGACTATAACAAGTTTCACAATCTATCCCAAGAAGTGTTATATAAGCACTTTCTAACCTACTAACCTGAAATTAGTGCACAAATTGCCAAACACTAAACACACCCTACTTTCAACTTAATGTAATACAGTCCATAATCAAAGCATTCAAAATACAAATATTCTGGCAATGCACACCTGCAGTCTTCTTTACAACGTAATATAAATGGCTGCCTTTTGAACTTCTGATAGCAATGTCGGCACGCCTCACACGCTACCACAGTTCCACCCATACGCGTTACTCCTCTGTGGATTGAATAGTACCGAGTTTCCTTGCAAATTCCACAATTAACTCTTACTCTTTTTGAGGCGGCTTTTCCTTCTTCTGTACCTGCAAGTAAAATTATTTTGTGAAAATGTAAATACTGTATCTCCAAACCTCTGGACTTAAAAAAAAATACAACTTTGAGTAAATGTGAAAAGCAGTTTCTGAACACAAACCAATCAGTGCGTCCCCTTCTCAAGGAAAGATTCGCCGTGTCCTCGACATGAGGATCATTTAAGTCTGCAGAGCGACACTACCTGCATTTAGCCCTCATGCCTCCAGCTGTTTCCTGCCCTTGCCTTGTCTTTGTTTAGTATCTATTGGGTTTAGTTTGGCAACACCTGATATATGCATTGTTATTTTATGTTATTTATGGCCCTGCCGTGTTTTCAGCTCCCCGTATTGCTCTCTCTCTCTCTCTCATCTTGTCCTATCGGTGGCTGAATTAGAATAAATTTGGGTATGCCTTGAATATGTATTCACCTTGTTGTGTTTACGGGGGTTGAGCTTTGCTCTTTCGGCCCACCTCTCAACTGTCAATCAACTGTTTTACTAACTACTTTTTTTTTCCCACACCACACACACACACACACCAGGAAGCAGCCCATGACAGCTGACTAACTCCCAGGTACCTATTTACTGCTAGGTAACAGGGGCATTCAGGGTGAAAGAAACTTTGCCCATTTGTTTCTGCCTCGTGTGGGAATCGAACCCACGCCACAGAATTACGAGTCCTGCGCGCTATCCACCAGGCTACGAGGCCCCCCGTAGCATGTGTTGGAGCAAGAGGGTTTTCCTTGATCCTAACACATTTCCCAGTTATATCAGTGACCTCTGGATTGAGCCTGCTTGCCTTCGATTGCTTTCTGCCTCAGCCTTTTCTTGCAGTTCACTGAACTGAGTTACATTTGGATTCGAGTGGCCAATCATTGGTGCCCTAGTTTTTTCTTGGCCTCTGTGATGTATCTATCGAAAAATACTGAGGCCATATAATGAGAGACCAGGGAGGCGAGTTTGATCCCATCATATGCCTTCAAAATTTCCCTGAAATTTTTGAAATTTCAGGGAAATTGAGGGAGGGAGATTGTCTTGAAATTTTTTGTCACTGTATCTGTTAGGCTTACTGAAATATCACAATGATTTGCTTGCCTCTTAAGAATACCTGTGATCAATTCTGGGGATATTATTCCAAAACATAAGCAAGATGCTGTTTTATATTTTACTCTTATTTTCTTGGCACCAAAGCCTTCGAAGCCTGCATGGTTGAAGTCCTCCGGAGATGAGATAACCTGTGAATCGAGGGTTGTTCCAGCCATCTTCAAGGTCTACTGTTTGATAATGTCTCATGCGTGTGTGAAACTTCATACAATCAAATTGTATTTTTTTTATGACAAGTTATACTGAATAGTTAATTACCAGTAAGAAATGTTTGTGATATTTGTTCAGCTGTTACTATTTAGTTTTATTTGCAAGTTGACAGTTATAAGGCAGCTAAAATGGGGAAGGTCTGTTGTTGGCCTAATGGGATTAGATAAATATAACAAGTTTCTTGTCTTCAATAATGGGTAACTAAATTAAGAAATTTATGACATATATATAAATCCCATTATTGGGGACAGGAAACCTATACAGAACAGTACTAATGCAGGCATTGAGTCACAATAACGTGGGTGAAGTAAGTTAACCAGACCACACACTAGAAGGTGAATGGACGACGACGACGTTTCGGTCCGTCCTGGACCATTCTCAAGTCGATGAAACGTCGTCGTCCTTTCACCTTCTAGTGTGTGGTCTGGTCAACAGTACAGTACTTAGGTTTGTCGAGCTCTTCCCCATGCAAACTGCTGACCTCCCACAGGATGCATACCACAACAGTCGCTTAAATCCTGGGTACCTGTTTTACTGCTCAGTGAAGAGACATCCAGGGAATGTATATGTTTATCTCTCAGAATGTTCGGTAATACGTTTATTGTTTGTGATGTGTGTCTATGTATGTATTAACACGATGTACTGAACGGGGTGAGAATAGCTTGAGCTACCTCATCCCTTTGTGTGTATTTTACCTCAATAAACTTATTTCAAGAGACATCTGGTGAAAAAAAACATGCCCAACCATTTCTGCCTTTTGGGCATTGAACCCTGGTCCTTCAGTTGTAAACCAAGGATGTAAACCATTGTGCTAAAGTAAAGCAACAAAAATTGACTTACCTATAACACTGAGATATGAAGGCATAAGCACAGCTGGTATCCGCAAATTTGCCTCCGAAGGTTCCATATTTTTCCTTTTGCACCAACTCCTGGTCAGCCAATGTAGGTAGAGTAATTCCCAACCTAGAAGATAACTAGAGTTGAGGTTATGATACTCTTGAGAATCAGTTTTTTGGGGCCTCTATTTTCTAAAGTCAACAACAGAAGCACTCAATACAAAATCCTAAAAGATATCTGGTAGTATATATTTTTAGGCAACTTAGATAAGAAGCAATTGCTATCTGATATCACATAAAGCAATGAGCATATAATCATCTTCAATGAATGTACAATCATTTCCCACCTTTATGTTGTACTTGCTTGATTTTTTTTTTTTTTTTTTTTTTTTTTGAGATATATACAAGAGTTGTTACATTCTTGTACAGCCACTAGTACGCGTAGCGTTTCGGGCAAGTCCTTAATCCTATGGTCCCTGGAATACGATCCCCGCCGCGAAGAATCGTTTTTTCATCCAAGTACACATTTTACTGTTGCGTTAAACAGAGGCTACAGTTAAGGATTTGCGGCCAGTAAATCCTCCCCGGCCAGGATACGAACCCATGACATAGCGCTCGCGGAACGCCAGGCGAGTGTCTTACCACTACACCACGGAGACTGCATGTTGAGTAAGTTGTGTTCAACACCAGTAAGCTAAGGTAACCTGGTGTTCAATGACACCACAAATAAAGTAAAACAACATAGATGTTTGTTAAAGATCTTATAGAAAAAATTATGATTGATTCCACTGGTCAGGATAATCAAAGTTGAACTGTATATCCTCATCACTGAGCCCCACAGAAGAGGAGTTCTTGAAAGCTTTCCTATGCATAGCCAAGACCGGAGACAAACACCATTCTGTCAGACAAAGAAACAGGGCAAACATCAGAACTAGAGGCCACCACAGAACTGAACCCCTGAAAGACCCGAACAGGAAAATGCCAAAGTAAATGAAACCAAAGGCCCAGTGGCCCTCGATCCAATGAAGAACTGACCAATGCAGAATGTGGTTGTGTGCCTACAGCCAAAGTGGTTAAGCAACTCAGGTGCAGTTCAGTCAGCCAACTACCTTGTGATAGTTCCAGGAATCGATGTCCCTGTGGCTCGGTCTCTGACCAGGCCTCCAAGCAGACATTCAAGATCTCAACAAGTCAGTCTAACAGAGACAGAAAGTAAGCTGGTGAGCATTCAAAAGAAGGAGAAAGAGGCTGACATGGTATCTTGATTCACACCCAAATATCAACAGAACTGTATGGATGAAAGCTAGGACAAGAGACGATTCTCCAGAAAACCAAACATATGCATATCACCCAAACTATAAACAGAAAACTGATGACTGGGAGATCAAAACCAACCAACCTACCAATCAATACAGGCCAGGACTTGGAATCCAAGAGTGAGGGCTTCCAAAGAACTACTTGTGGAACTTGGCAAACATTCTTGGGAGTTGCCAGGTTAAACCTAAAGGGAAGAGCCAGAAAGTGATACACTGTATGCATCACCCAAGACATCAGCTCATTCCTTAATTTTGAATGGATGAGAACATGTCAGCAGGTGTCCTTGAGGTTCAGGAAAATGATCCAAGACTGGCCTGCAACCTCCTGGCAAACCAAGGACCTGGTGGTCATTCAGAATCTTGGGTAAGGGAAGGGGAAAATTGGCTCACATGAGATCGAGAATAATCTTGAGATTGGGTGTGTCTGGCACGGCCACCAGAAAAAGGTACAAGACCCCCACCAAGACTGTAGCACGGCTATGCTACATATAGAACTTATAACTATATCAATGACTATTACACTCCTGGCTAAGATCACATGGATGTGGAGAGAATAGCTGGGCAGGATGCAGGGACACTTGAGGAGCTGCTAGGGAACTGAGCCCAAATTGAGGCCTTTGAAAACCAGAGAGCTTAAGCAACCCTAATCTATGCCTGCTAAAAGGCGCCCAGATATTCCCCGCTATGCTGTCAAAGAAGAGTGCCGATAGAAACTGATACAACGGTCCTAACAATATCTCTCAACAGATGTTTGCTCCATTCGATCAAACAACATGGAAAGTGGAGTAATCCTTACCCATTAAGTTACAAGATTGGAATGGCACGTATGCAAAATTCAAAATGATTCACATTCTTCTCAGAGAACAGGAATGGCCACCACCAATGAGAAGAGACGAAGCAAATTCCTGGAAATTGCCCAACATGGAACACCCACAGGCAATGTACATTGCAAGGTAGTCATACACCACATCCAACTAAAATAGGGAGAACAAACAACTTAGATGAAGATGCTGCTGGCAGATAGAGAAACATCAAGGTTGGCAAGGAATCCATGCCCAGGATGGAAAACTAAGACCACAGTTGAAGAGTAAACAGCTTCGATGCAAGCACAAGTTTACAAACATTGGCAAGCATTTTTTCAGTGTCAGAGTAGTTAATAAATGGAATGCACTAGGAAGTGATGTGGTGGAGGCTGACTCCATACACAGTTTCAAATGTAGATATGATAGAGCCCAGTAGGCTCAGGAACCTGTACACCAGTTGATTGACAGTTGAGAGGCGGGACCAAAGAGCCAAAGCTCAACCCCCGCAAGCACAATTAGGTGAGTACAGATTGGGCCTTGAAATCCAGATTAGATGCATAGTCCCTATCTTGCAGCAGAAATAACAAATCCCACCTAGTCTAAGCAGAAGGTAGGCAGGAAGGAGGAGAGTTAGAGAGAAGGAATGAGATAATTAGAATGAGAGAACAAAAACCCAGTGGAGCACGAGTATGTCTGCCCCTGTCACATGGAGCAACAGAAAGCAATGTGGGGGAGAACCTGAGGAGATATCTAGCTCAAACTGGGAAGGGGGATACCTGACATACAACACCCGAGCCCTTTCCAGCCTGGATGCTAAAACTCAAGAAGAGCACAAGAAAACTGGGCATCTCCCTCCTAATGAAATTGACACATCTGACTTACTGATCCAGTGCTTGGACCTTAAAAGGTATCATTGTAAAGACACCTTATACCTAATGGTGCTTGTGTATTAACTTTCAAGGCTGCCAGAGCTCTTAAAATGTTCTCAGGGACTGCAGGCCCATACACCATAAACTGCACACAACACTTCGAGTAAACAAGGCTATATTTTCCCTTCAGTATTTTCAATCAAAATAACATACAACACTGATTCTCAACATATCTTTATTTATATGATGCAATTACTTAAAGATTCACAAATGAAAATAAAATGTAGACTCGGGGTAGGGCAAACTGACCCGTGGCAAGGCAAAACAGCCAATGAATACAGACTTCAGGGATAAACAGCTCTCAATGAAACAAGATTAACATAGTGTAAATTTCACAGCAATGTTATTGTTCAAAAATTCAAGGTCAAATTCAAATTTGTATTAAAAAAAATGTGTATAGAAAGAACATAAGAGTAATGTACAATTGCGGAGACAAGAGTTACACAAACTAATGAAGCCACTATTATGCAAAGTGTTTCAGGCAAAACATTGTACTGTTCATACAAGTTGGATATTGTTCAATCACTGAACATTGTATTGTTCATATAAGACCACATCTTTTAAAAAAATAAAAGCCAGACTGATAATCAAACTGAATTATAGTTTATCTGTCCGCTTTTAGGGATTATTCCATCATGCTTTGAAACCACTTGGGCTGGACGGTACAATAACAATCTCACTTCTTTCAGGACGGCGTTCGATCCCCGACTGTCCAAGTAATTTGGCACCATTCCTTCCCCCCCCCCATTCTACCCCCTTCTAAGTATTATATAGTCATAGTGACTTAGTGCTCTCTCTATTCTGTTCTGTTCTATTGTTTAAAACAACAGTATGATCATCATATCATTTTGATCATCAAAGCACATGGGGGAGGGGGGAACCTTCGATAAGCCGCCGGGTTCTCATCCTCGTCGAGGTCACTAGTGATAGCGGCTCTCCGGTAAACTTTGGTAGAACAACATTATTGTCCCTTCAGGAAGGTATTTCAGAATGTAGTTTGATCACTTAAAACAGCAAGCCTTCATCCTGTTCCATCTCCGGTGTTAAAAGGGGATATTGAGGCCAGTCTAAACAACACATAGATTTTTCTTACCTAGCCCCTAGGGGAAATTAGATCAATACATTACAACTAATCAGATAATTTAGTTCAATAACATATTTATGACTGAACCCGAGGCATTTCCCATTCCATCGAGTCGAATTTCTCAGAGAACGTTGTAAACAGGCGTAAAAAAGTGTGTAAATTGTTTACGAGTGAGAACCAGTCATGTAAATATTAAGTAAGCTTTGACACCACATTTTCATCCCCTTAATACGACCCCCATGAAAAAAAAGCACCAATAAGCTGCCTTTTTCACAATATACGCCAACCCTGCGGCCTCCCGCTGCTCCAGAAACTCACCAGCTCTATGATCTGTTAGAGAAAAGTACAAAAAGGCTGAAAAAAAAATGGCTAAATCATTGAAAATCGAAGAATATATAAGAGTGCTGGCGGCCACAACAGCTTGTAAACAAACATCCTCAGCGTTCACAATGGAAAATAAACTTCAAAAATCCATCATTCCGGCCAATTTGCTCCAATAAAAATGTATATTTAGCTGAAGAATATTATTCAAATGAATTCTCGCTTGGAATATATGTAGTTTGGGCTGAAATTGGGTTTAAAGGCCGGGAAGATATCGAGGCTTGGTTTAACGCGGGAAGTTTAAACGCCCAAGGAAGGCATTTTCATTTGAATGGATAACAAGGTTAATTTAGCAACAAGGTATGGCTACTCTGGTTTATATAGTGGTTTGTAGTGTAGAGTATGTCGCGGGCTAGCTAGGTTGACCAAATATACCATATATGGCAGGATATATGGTTATATATCAGTGTGGAGGGGTAGGGGGGGACTTGAGTATGACAGGCATGGTCGATTGGTCCGTACCTCCCTTGTCCATTGACCGTCTATAATGTATTATACACTCAATTATACAGCTGTAGTGCCGCTGCTGCGCGAGCCTCCGCCCCCTCCCGTTTAAAGAACATGCACAGGTTATATTTATATATTGTATATATAATAAATATGGTATATATATCATGATACCAGAGGTGAGAGTGAGAGAGCATCGACCCCCTAAGACTACTTCCTGTACATTTCCGCCTCCCTCCCACCTTTTAATATATGCCTCCCCCTATACATATATATATATATATATACATATATATATATATATATATATATATATATATATATATATATATATATATATATATATATATATATATATATATATATATATATATATATATATTATTATTAAATATGACCGAAAAAGTAAAATTAATAATTCTAACACGAATTTTCTCAATCTTTCGTACATTACGCTTCACTGTTGGAGGTAAATCAAAAATCACTTCTCCAAAATTCATTTTTATTTCTAGTCTGACGCGACACGGGCGCGTTTCGTAAAACTTATTACATTTTCAAAGACTTCACAAATACACAACTGATTAGAACTTGCGTTTCCCTGATTTTATATCTACATTTGAGTGAGGTGGGAAGGGTGATGTGGCATTACATTTGAGTGAGGTGGGAAGGATGATGTGGCATTAACACAAGACAGAACACTAGGGGATATTAATAGGCTCCGCTCCGCTCCTCAAGACTCCGCTCCAATATAGAAGCATCAAGAAATATGGACCAATAGGCTTTCTACAAACACTTCTATTCAATACCCATTGTTTCTGTTCTGTCTTGTGTTGATACTTTTAATACCCTATTAATATCCCCTAGTGTTCTGTCTTGTGTTAATGCCACATCACCCTTCCCACCTCACTCAAATGTAATGCCACATCACCCTTCCCACCTCGCTCAAATGTAGATATAAAATCAGGGAAACGCAAGTTCTAATCAGTTGTGTATTTGTGAAGTCTTTGAAAATGTAATAAGTTTTACGAAACGCGCCCGTGTCGCGTCAGACTAGAAATAAAAATGAATTTTGGAGAAGTGATTTTTGATTTACCTCCAACAGTGAAGCGTAATGTACGAAAGATTGAGAAAATTCGTGTTAGAATTATTAATCTTACTTTATCGGTCATATTTAATAATATATGTCTACAGGAAAGACTGCTACCAAAATATACTAATATATATATATATATATATATATATATATATATATATATATATATATATATATATATATATATATACACTCTTTCGTATTCAGAGTTAAATGTCAAGTTTTTCCCTGAGTGCTCTGTGTTCCCTTCTCTGAGGCTGTGGGTCCCTATAATTACACCAGTGGTGGTACCCCCCTATATATATATATATATCAATTACTAAAGCAAACTTATACACTAAGGGATTACAAAAAATAAATACAAATGTTCCTTATTATAAAATATTGAATATCTTATAAATATGCAGGGGGACCCATAGCCTCGGAGAAGAAAATAAAGAGTATCCAAAGAAGACCTTGTGGATTCTCACTGAACACTTTAATATTTTCTCCTACCATTCCTATTTTTTTATATATATAATATGACTTTTATATCAATTTTATTACATTATGTTACAGTTTATAGAACACACACATATAGCAATCAATGTGGGAAGAACTTATACAGTTCTTCGGAGGTTGGGTGCGTGCCCAAGATACAGCACGCATTTCCTCTCTGGATCGCGACACTCAGGCGCTGGAACAAGAAACTGGCCGCTCTTGAGTCTCTAGTTTACCCAATGAGTTCCTCACCCACCTCCTTTAGGAACTTAAGTGCACATTTACCCCCAGGCGCCCAGAGTCTCAGAGCCTATCGGCACGAACCTGTAACAACGTTCTAGGTCTCTGTACTTGTTGGTTTTCTGGGTCTCTCTGAAGGTGGCCGCCCCGCCTCCCTCAGCTGTGCTGTAAGGTAGATAGGTATCAGCCAATGTAGATGCACAGGTGTAGTCCCATACGACCTGTTTACCTTCCCTCCATGGCTGCAAGGTGACTCCATCTGGGCGTTTTTGGCTGTTGTCAGGTCTGCACAACTGGGGTTCTCTTTGTGCTGGACACCCAGCTGTAGCCAGACTTCTCTTGATGATGTCATTGACTTGAAAAATTGATTTGATTTGATTCGAAAAATATGATTTTTTTTATTTTCGTGTGTATAAATCGGCAATATATTAAGTATCCTATAATAGCAAGGAACGAATTCTATCTCCTGGGCGCCGCCTTTGAATCAAAATAAATAATTTTAGTGATTCGACTCTCCCGATCGAAACCACTAGAGATATCTATGATTTACCAGATTTACCAAGTTAGAAACCAGGTAAATCTGGTAAATCAGAGATGTCGGACCTCAGGTAAATTCTTGTAAACAGTACTCCAGCCCAAACACAGAGTTGGAAGGTATACATGCTATCCCTGAGGATATACAATGAAGCTGAGCGTGGGAGATAACACGTGTCGTTATCCCAGTACACTGTACGATAACAGGAAACATTGTAGCAACATTGTTCCCTAAAAGTTAAGATATACAAAGACAAAAGATATACACAGATTTCCAGTGTTAGACTTGTAGCTTCACACATACAGAATTATCTACACAATAAATCGTCACTAACACACTGAAACATACTGTAGTATGTATGGATTCTGTAATTCCAAGTCAGCTCTTCAAGCCCTTGAAACCCAACATGCAAAATAGGTATTAAGAATGCTGTAACACCCATATTTATCGCCATGATTGGTGGACAGAGTTTCAGAATCTCATTTGTATTGATTCCATCTCATATAAGGTGTTGAGAAGCGTAATTATACGGGTAAGGATGCTAAAAATGCCTGTGACAAAGTTGAAATTGAACAGGATCTAGGAATTCCAATATGGCGTCAAAATCACACTGTTTCAGGGAATTAGAAAACGAGGATATCACAGACTCTGAAAGGGTGTTATGAAGGGTTATGATATGTTTAGAAACGATAACTACGCTTAGTGTTAAAGACTTAACAATCACCAGAGAGTGTGACATTCTAATTGCCAGAATTAGGCTGCAAAATTGCCTAATATTGAGTGTGTGACATTCTAATTGCCAAATTAGGCTGTGTTGATTCATCACCTGCGGCAGGTGGCTGCAGGTGATGAATCCCTCAGTACTGAACTCATCAGATTGTAAGCTTGCCGAACCTTGAAATTGAAATTGAAATAAGCTTGCTTGCCGAACAAGACAAGGGGCCAGATTCACGAAGGTACTTACGCAAGCATTTACGAACCTGTACATCTATTCTCAATCTTTGGCGGCTTTGTTTACAATTATTAAACAGTTAATGAGCTCCGAAGCACCAGGAGGCTGTTTATAACAATAATAACAGTTGATTGGCAAGTTTTCATGTTCGTAAACTGTTTAATAAATGTAACCAAAGCCGTCAAAGATTGAGGAAAGATGTACACGTTCGTAAGTACTTGCGTAACTGCTTCCTGAATCTGGCCCAAGGACTCAGGGGGGGGGGGGGTAGAAATAGCCTAAGCTACTCTATTCCTTTGAGATGTATTTTTTTCTTGTCTCAATAAACTTGAACAAGGACTCACTCCAACAATTTGTGATTGACTTGTTAGCGATGGTTTCAGGCCAAATAGCATGAAGGGAAGGGAATTACCAGGGGGGAAAGCGCCAAGCCATTACGACTATATAGCACTGGGAAGGGGTCAGGATAAGGATTTGGGGTGGGACGGAGGGAAAGGAATGGTGCCCCAACCACTTGTATGGACGGTCGGGGGATTGAACGCCGACCTGCATGAAGCGAGACCGTCGCTCTACCGTCCAGCCCAAGTGGTTGGGCTCCAAATAGTATGACATTCTTTGAGTTCAGTTACTACTTAATACACTCAAGAATATTGGACGATATTCTTGTGCTCTATCTTGAGGTTATCTTGAGGTTATCTTGAGATGATTTCGGGGCTTTAGTATCCCCGCGGCCCGGTCCTCGACCAGGCCTCCACCCCCAGGAAGCAGCTTTGACAGCTAACTAACACCCAGGTACCTATTTTACTGCTAGGTAACAGGGGCATAGGGTGAAAGAAACTCTGCCCATTGTTTCTCGCCGGCGCCTGGGATCCAACCCGGGACCACAGGATCACAAGTACAGCGTGCTGTCCGCTCGGCCGACCGGCTCCCCCTCTATCCACAATTTTATCTTGAACTATTTATTTGATTTAATAAGATTCAAATAGATAACATCATCAGGTCGAATGGGAGGACCCATGACAAGCCATCGGCTTCCTGTCCTCGTCGAGGCTATTAGTGAGATAGTAGCACTCAGGTAAATTCAGGTAAATATACCAGACGACCCAATGGGTTGTTAAAGCACTTATAGGGGTGGGGGGGACCTTTGACAAGCCACCGGCTTCCTGTCCTCGTCGAGGCCACTAGTGTTAATGGCTCTCAGGTAAACTCAGGTAAATATGTTGGTGGTTATGTAAAAACAGGTCACACATAACGTTTCGGGCAGGTGCTCAAGCTGATAGATGTATATATATCAACATAGATATGTATACATATCATTATAGATATGTATACATATCATTATAGATATACATATCAACATTGTTAAATATGACCGAAAAAGTAAGATTAATAATTCTAACACGAATTTTCTCTATCTTTCTTACGTTTCTTTTCACTGTTGGTGGTAATTCAAAGATCAATTCTCCAAAATTCATTTTTATTTCTAGTCTGACGCGACACTTGAGCGCGTTTCGTAAAACTTATTACATTTTCAAAGTAATTTTTGAATTACCATCAACAGTGAAAAGAAACGTAAGAAAGATAGAGAAAAATTCGTGTTAGAATTATTAATCTTACTTTTTCTGTCATATTTAATAATATATCTCTACAGGAAAGACTGCTACCAAAATATGCTAATATATCAACATTGATATACATATCAATATATATCGAATGATATTATACTACAATGTACCTATTGATAATCCTCAAATTTTAGTATAATGAAACCAATTAATTTTCTTCAAAATTTCTTAAAATGTACCTGATAACAGTCTTCAATTTTGGTACAAATTACCTACTTAATATTATCTGTTAGATTAAATGAATAAAATGAATAAATGAATGAATTAAGGACCTGCCCGAAACACTGTTCTAGACAGAGGCTTTACAACCATGTAAAAACATCAATGCTATGTTCTCTCATAAACCCAATATATATATATATATATATATATATATATATATATATATATATATATATATATATATATATATATATATATATATATATATATATATATATGTCGTACCTAGTAGCCAGAACGCACTTCTCAGCCTACTATGCAAGGCCCGATTTGCCTAATAAGCCAAGTTTTTCATGAATTAATGTTTTTTCGACTACCTAACCTACATAACCTAACCTAACCTAACTTTTTCGGCTCCCTAACCTAACCTAACCTATAAAGATAGGTTAGGTTAGGTTAGGTAGGGTTGGTTACGTTCGGTCATATATCTACGTTAATTTTAACTCCAATAAAAAAATTTGACCTCATACATAATAAAATGGGTAGCTTTATCATTTCATAAGAAAAAATTAGAGAAAATATATTAATTCAGGAAAACTTGGCTTATTAGGCAAATCGGGCCTTGCATAGTAGGCTGAGAAGTGCGTTCTGGCTACTAGGTACGACATATATATATATATATATATATATATATATATATATATATATATATATATATATATATATATATATATATATATATATATATATAAAATATAATTTAAAATGCACATTGCAGCAAAATTTGAATTCACTTGATAACTACCTAAACATAAAATGATAGAATTAAACGGATGAAGTTGTATTTCTAAGCAGTAATACTCTGGGTGGATAATACAACATACTGTATTCCTTCATACAGAATAATACAACAGAATAAAGAATCTATATCCGTAACAGTATACAATTTATTATATGTGCTGTGTTGCAGTTATATGTGTCAGTTGGTGCAAGGTGGCAGTTGTATTTTGAATACAGTATATTGTATTAAGTCACGTATAGTTTGTTTTCAATTTAAGGTGCTGTGCTATCAGGAGTGTGAGAATCCGCGCTTGGCGTTCGTGAGAGCAGGTCCACATGGCTCAGCCAGGTGCATCTGGGACTGGCAAGTGTTCCCACACTCATTTGATATACTGCCACAACTTTCAATTATATATTATATATATATAATATATATATTATTCAATATGTTATGTTTAGGCTTTCCCAAATACTCCTCCGTTTTCTTTTAAACGCGCGTAGGTTTTCTCTTAAACCTGGCGTTTCGTAGGTGGTTTTTGCGGGTATATTAGGAGTCTTTTATTGGGTGGAGAGGGGTGGGGATGGTGTTGTGGGGTGGGGGGAGGAGTTGTGAGTGAGGAGGGGGGTTATGGAGAGGGGGGAATGCATTAGACGAGAGGTCCAGTGTGTTCAAATCAGCGACAATGGCTGCACGTTTGGTGGTGTGGCTTTTGTCAGCATTGGCGTCCTCTGGTTGTGGTGAGATATGCCCTAATTTTGTTTCCCATACTTGGGGACAGGTAGACAGGATGAGGATGGGAAAGCGGGATGAGAAGACAGGTTGAGAACATGTTAGGTTCGCAGTATTGTCAACCCTGAGACCCTTAACCGTTCCGAAAGACTTAGTTCTGGGGTAATTGTTCTTGCAAGGTGTTCCTGTCACCTCATGCACCTGTTCACCTAGCAGAGAATAAGTACCAGGGAGTTAGCCAACTGTTGTGGGGTTGTATTCTAGGGGGGGGGGACATCTCTAAGCTAGAAGCTAGTTCCTAACCCCGTTAATGGGAATTATATAGGCCTAGGGGCCCGCGCAGGAATATCCCTGAAAAGAAAATGGGAATTATGAGTTAATAATGAATAAATCAAATTAGATGATTACCATTGTTAAGATGGAGTTATTTCCTAGCTCTGTACTAGTGGGGATCAATAAGAATTAATTCCTTTTCTAATTAGGCCAATATTAACTGTCAATTTTTCTAATTAGGCCAATATTAACTGTCAATTTTTCTAATTAGGCCAATATTAACTGTCAATTTTTCTAATTAGGCCAATATTAACTGTCAATTTTTCTAATTAGGCCAATATTAACTGTCAATTTTTCTAATTAGGCCAATATTAACTGTCAATTTTTCTAATTAGGCCAATATTAACTGTCAATTTTTCTAATTAGGCCAATATTAACTGTCAACTCCTGCTGCTGACCGTCAAGTAACTGTCCACAACAGTGAGGTGTGGCTTACAGTCTGTTGAGCTCCGGCTCTTGAACCCATTGTCGGTATATACATTAACCTAACAGGTTCATGAAGACTGTACCTTGTTTAGCTAAATGAATCATTGGATTTAGTTCCTGAACTCATTGTTTACCCCTGTAAGTCTTTCCACTTCCGCCCACGGGATGGGCGTGGGTATAGGAGCCGGGGAATACAAGATTTCAGTTGGGCAGCAGTTTGCTGCCTCTGAAATCTTTCATATTGTGGCTACGTGAATAGCTCAGTGGTAGAGTTTCTGCTTCACGCCCGTGGGGGGGGGGGAGCGGTTCGAGTCTCCTAGGATGAATCTTCGTAGAAATGGAAGGATAAATCTTCCATTCAGTATGAGAAATTCTTTTCTCAATTTCAATTTAATGTAGTTATGTATTGGGGGCTTATACATAGGCCTAACTAAGGAAAATATAGGCAGTGTAGAATGGAGAAAGAACGAAGCACGTTTCGGGTCATCGTTTCGAATCTGGTCAACCGGACTTTTAGTCAAATACTGACTTAGTAATACAGTGTTTGACTTACGCGTTGGGAACTCAATGTTTTCATGAGGCGCTTGTCCCTCCAGGAGTTCAAGCATCGATACAGGATGACTTGATCTTCTTACCGTGGGATTCGAGCGCTGTCGACTCCCTCCCTTCGCCCGGGAACGTGATCGACGACCAGATCGTCGAGGCGCTGGAAAACTTCAGAGAACAGATGAGCATCGGATGGCCGGACCTAGGGATACCGCCCCTCGACCCCTTCCTCCTGGCTAGCCTGCCCCTAAACATCACCTCAGGGGAGACTAAGTAAGCAGACTCATATAATTCTTTGTGCACAGTGAACTCATAAACTAATCAGCAGTGACGTGTGTCCCATCCTCTTCTTACTCTGTTTCGTCCGGGCAGCTTCTACGGGAACCTGACTGAGGTTTCGATCAAAAACCTGTCCAACTTCAGCATCGATCTGGTCGACAGTAACCTGCTCTTCCTCAAGGTTGACATCGTTCTCGGCCTCCAGCTCCTCGACATCGATGGCGCTTACGATATCTTCGGAGCTATTGGGATCTTCCCTATCTTCGGCGACGGACCATTCAGGTGAGAGAGGGAGAGATGCACAGAAGGAAATAGAAGAGGGAGAGAAAGGTAGAATATCTGATACGAAGATAAGAGAGCAAAAGATAATGGGGGGAAAATAATGGATGTGAATCCTCTTCCTAATAATGGAAGAAGAGAGAAAATGGAACTGTTGAAAGGACAGGAATGCAGAAGAAAGATGGGAGGTAGAAGAGGGGAAAAGGAAAGGGGGAAAAGGGGATAGAGATGGAAGAGACAGTAGAGAATCAGAAGGCGCACAACTTGTAGTTAAACATCATATGCCTTACTCACAGAATATAATACCACAGAGTATCAGATCAATTGAGTGTAGAGACAGAGCGTAGCCCCACCTATACACCGAGACCCCTGTAGAATCTCGCCAGAGTCTGTAGCCTACAGCCTGTAGCCTACAGCCTGTAGCCTACAGCCTGTAGCCTACAGCCTGTATCCTACAGCCTGTAGCCTAAACCGACAGTGTAGCGAACTGATAGCCTTTAGCCCCCGCAGAGAGCCTCGTTTAGTGTAGAGCCCCATTGGGGCTCTGTTGTCCTCACAGAGTACATAACCTACACTCTGTGACCTATCAGAACAGCCCCTTCATAGCCTGTAGCCCCACAGAGTAACCCATATAGGACAATAGTCCTAAATAAAGAACAAGAAACCAGATCATGTTGCAATTTATAGCTAACAAAAAATAAATCCCACTTGGAGCTCGTAGTTTAGACATGGTTTAGATTTCGGGGCTTAGCGTCCCCGCGGCCCGGTCCTCGACCAGGCCTCCTTTTTTGTTACACACCCCCCAGGAAGCAGCCCGTAGCAGTTGTCTAACTCCCAGGTACCTATTTACTGCTAGGTGATCATGGGCATCTGGGTGAAAGAAACTCTGCCCGTTTGTTTCCGTTTCCACTTGGGATCGAACCCGGAGCCTTAGGACTACGAATCCCGAGCGCTGTCCACTCAGCCGTCAGGCCCCATACGTAGGGAAGGTGGTATGTAGTGTGTGTAAGGGACCAGGAAGCGTTTGGGCAGTGCCAGGTAGTACTTCAGATACAGACTTCTCGCCTACAGGCTGGACGCTTTCGACTCGAACTTGAGCATCGAAGTGGCGCTGGGCGTTGATGAATACGATGAATTGGGCGTCTCAGAACTCACCATCTACGCAGACTTTAACACCACTGAGGTGAGTAGTGCTGACCTGAGTCCCTCGACTCATCATCTGATTATGATGATGAAGATTAAGCCACCCAAAAGGTGGCATGGGCATGAATAGCCCATAAGTGGTGGCCCTTTTGAGCCATTTCCAGTATCAATAGATGATACTGGAGATCTGTGGAGGTGCGACTGCACCCTGCGTGACGGGAGATGTCTCCCGTGTGGACTCATCATCTACACCATTCATCGAGAAATATAATTTAATTAACAACAAAACAGCTGCCAATTACTGAACATATTTTGCTAAAATTATCGCATAAGACTCTCTGTTGCTTTTAATATATCTCAACTCCACATATATATATACACACGGTACATAGCTCTCTGTTACAAAGGTAAATACAGATTGTAGCATAGAAAATCGTCAATTATTTAAAAGAAATCTTATGGGTTTGTGTCTTGTTGGTTCGTCAGGTGGACTTCGAGAACGTTATGGGGGGCGGGAACATGGCGGACTTCGTCAATGGGGTGTTGAGTTCGCTGGCGCCCGATATTCTGAGGGCCTTGGAGGACGAGTACATGCCGCTGATGGAAGAGGCCCTCAAGCACGAGATTAACACCATCCTTCATGGAGGGTGGGGGTTGTGTTGACTTGTTTGTCTGTCTGTCTGTGTGCCTGTCTGTCTTTCTTTTTTTTTCTCTCTTTCACTCTCTCTTTCTCTCTCTGTCTCTTTCAGTCTCTCTGTCCCTTTCTCTGTCTCTCTGTCCCTTTCTCTGTCTCTCTGTCCCTTTCTCTGTCTCTCTGTCCCTTTCTCTGTCTCTCTGTCCCTTTCTCTGTCTCTCTGTCCCTTTCTCTGTCTCTCTGTCTCTCTCTCTCTCTCTCTCTCTCTCTCTCTCTCTCTCTCTCTCTCTCTCTCTCTCTCTCTCTCTCTCTCTCTCTCTCTCTCTCTCTCTCTCTCTCTCTCTCTCTCTCCTCTCTCTCTCTCTCTCTCTCTCTCTCTCCCTCTCTCTCTCTCTCTCTCTCTCTCTCTCTCTCTCTCTCTCTCTCTCTCCCTCTCTCTCTCTCTCTCTCTCTCTCTCTCTCTCTCTCTCTCTCTCTCCCCTCTCTCTCTCTCTCTCTCTCTCTCTCTCTCTCTCCTCTCTCTCTCTCTCTCTCTCTCTCTCTCTCTCTCCTCTCTCTCTCCCTCTCTCTCTCTCTCTCTCTCTCTCTCTCTCTCTCTCTCTCTCTCTCTCTCTCCTACCCTTTTTATATTATATGTTTATTATTATTCAATTATTAATTATTAAATGATTTTATATATATTTGCTCATGAAATATTTCATGACATTTAAACGAACGAGTTTTTTCAAAAACCCAAAACTGATGTAAATTGACACAAATTTACCCGCGGGTTAATTATCCCTCTAGTGGCCAGGACAGGGGACAGGAATACAGAGACTTGTCAAAGGTCGCTGTATTCCTCCTAATGTTCCTGTGGATTTTTTACCACGAATTAGATTTTGAATTTGAGACAAATGTCTTTGCATTCAAGGCTTTGGCGGGTAGGAGGGGGGTTTCATGGGTCTTTTTTCTGCTTTTTAATATGTTTTCTTGACGCTTTACATATATTTAAGTAATATATATATATACATAATTCTCCACAGGAGAAAGAACTTCAAGGATGACTCAGTTAACGAATATTTTGATTACGTTTTCGCTAATATGCGTCGCCAAATCATAGAAAACGGCGAAGATCCTCTGGGCCTGCCAGGCGACAGCGGTAACTTCACTGTTTCCGTAAGTTCATCTCTTGGGGGTCGACCCGGGCACCGCCAGGTACCGCAGCTAGCGAGGAGTCACAATAACGTGGCTGAAGTATGATGACCAGATCACACACTAGAAGGTGAAGGGACGACGACGTTTCGGTCCGTCCTGGACCATTCTCAAGTCGATTGTGCCCGGGGTCGACTTGGGAATGGTCCAGGACGGACCGAAACGTCGTCGTCCCTTCACCTTCTAGTGTGTGGTCTGGTCATCGTACCGCAGCTAGTTTGTATTACTTTTTTCGTTCAATATAAAGTTGTTAAATTGGATTGTGTTAATACAAATTTAGCCAAATAATTGTTATATCTTTGCAAAGTTACTAACACAACAGTTTTGTCAAACACATAGAGTTTACCTATATGTGTAAGGGACGTCTTCGGGTCCCGGGGTCCCAGTTAAAAAGTGGGGTTCGCTCTCGACTCTCAAATCGGGAATTCCGGGCTCGAATCCCCGGCTGGATAGACATGGTTGGACGCGTTTCCTATCACCTAATGGTCCCTGTTCACCTAGTAGTAAATAGGTACCCGGGAGTTAACTTGTGGGAGTCTGCTAGTCCACGAGTCTGCTGGTCTCTTAGTCCACATGTAAAGCAGATATTACCAATTCCTGATATTGGAATTTGACAGCAAGTATCTTGATAACGAGAGACTCGTGACATGACACTTGTCAAGCCACTGACACTTGTCAAGCCGCTTGACACTTGTCAAGCCACTGACAAGACAGAGACCGACAGAGACCTACCTGTCAAGCCACTGACACTTGTCAAGCCACTTGACAACACGATCAGTCAATTATGATGTTGGTGGCTAATCGGATTTCCGGGAAGGCATTCTGTCTCTGTCTCTCTCTGTCTCTCTCTCTCTCTCTGTCTCTCTCTCTCTGTCTCTCTCTCTCTGTCGGTCTCTGTCTGTCTGTCTCTCTGTCTCTGATTGTCTCTCATGTCACCTTATCTCTGCAGCTCTTCAACACAACGTTGGAAGGACAGATAGAGGTGGACGGGGGTCGACTGGGAGGTCTGTCAACTATCCACCGAGCAGGGAACATGACGCTCCTGTATGTTGGGGACGAGGACGAAGCCGTTTGGAGAGGCGAAGTCGGTCTCATTGACCTACAGGTAGGTCTCATTGACCTACAGGTAGGGTCTCATTGACCTACAGGTAGGGTCTCATTGACCTACAGGTAGGGTCTCATTGACCTACAGGTAGGGTCTCATTGACCTACAGGTAGGGTCTCATTGACCTACAGGTAGGTCTCATTGACCTACAGGTAGGGTCTCATTGACCTACAGGTAGGGTCTCATTGACCTACAGGTAGGTCTCATTGACCTACAGGTAGGTCTCATTGACCTACAGGTAGGGCTCATTGACCTACAGGTAGGTCTCATTGACCTACAGGTAGGGGCTCATTGACCTACAGGTAGGTCTCATTGACCTACAGGTAGGGTCTCATTGACCTACAGGTAGGGTCTCATTGACCTACAGGTAGGTCTCATTGACCTACAGGTAGGGTCTCATTGACCTACAGGTAGGGTCTCATTGACCTACAGGTAGGTCTCATTGACCTACAGGTAGGTCTCATTGACCTACAGGTAGGGTCTCATTGACCTACAGGTAGGGTCTCATTGACCTACAGGTAGGGTCTCATTGACCTACAGGTAGGGCTCATTGACCTACAGGTAGGGGCTCATTGACCTACAGGTAGGTCTCATTGACCTACAGGTAGGGTCTCATTGACCTACAGGTAGGGTCTCATTGACCTACAGGTAGGTCAATGTTTGCAGCCCTAACGGAAACTCACACAAAGGACTACCTTGATGGTGAAATATGGATCCCAGAATACAATCTGAGCAGGTACAATCTTCAAGGTAGGTCTCATTGACCTACATGTAGGTCTCATTGACCTACAGGTAGGGTCTCATTGACCTACAGGTAGGGTCTCATTGACCTACAGGTAGGGTCTCATTGACCTACAGGTAGGGTCTCATTGACCTACAGGCAGGCCTAATTGACCTACAGGTAGGGCTCATTGACCTACAGGCAACCCTAATTGACCTACAGGTAGGGCTCATTGACCTACAGGTAGGCCTAATTGACCTACAGGTAGGGTCTCATTGACCTACAGGTAGGCCTAATTGACCTACAGGTAGGCCTAATTGACCTACAGGTAGGCCTAATTGACCATTACCTTTGAGCGAGAAATTTGCAAATGTTACAAAACCCCAAAAAATAATAATCAAAAATAATTCCAAATATTATAAAAACCAAATCGTTACGCAATTATAACTGTCATTATTGAGCGGTTTGAACGTGCTTACGTGACTACATCTATTACTAAAGCAATCTATTACTGCATTTTCTTTTCACATTTGGAAACTCTGCAATAAAGGCGATATTAGCAGTTGAACGAGGGTGTATATGATTCCTGGCTTCCATAAGTGATGCCGGGTGGTTTGGCTGTGGGTAAAATGGCCAGTTAGAGTTAACAATAGCGTCAATAAATGTCTAAATCAAAATCGTGTCAAACCCTCATTTTCTTTGATCGCTCTGAACGGTCCGTCGTGAGCGCGGTCATTTGGCGCCTATGGGCGCGTTCAGACGGTGACTTGACTTCTCTGAAGGAGTCATTTTCAGGCTCTGATCTGACCGCTGGCGTCTGAAACTCTATCCTAAAATATCTAATGTTTATCTAACCCTAAGAAGGGCTTGAACGGATCCCCTGAATCGTGGCGGTGTTCGCAATAGCGAGGTGATTGCTACATTTTTATTCACGTAATGAATAAATTTTTGCCAATTTCTATATATTGTCGCATAGACCGGAAGCTTGATGGGTCGTAACTCACCGCACACAGATGAGTACAACTCACGGAAACCTCATCAAGCCGAACGGACCCGCTATACTCACCCATCAACATACACATACAAGCCGCTGTGAGTTTGGATTCACATCCGGATTCAACATCTCCTTACACGAACGCGGCGTTCATGTAGATTTCGATCTTTGTTTACGATCCAGTCGTCCGATAATCCGATCCGCGTTCGTTTTATCGAAGTGAATACGCCCTGACGCGCGATCAGGCGACAATTGGGCGTCAAATACATAACACCGGCGTCAATTACGCTTGAATTTATTGACGCACGGTCCTAATGTGTTGTGAATTGTTGGCACTTATCGCAGTTCCCTACTACAGCGCCCTTGCTCAACGCCGCCCCACAGCACGGCGGGGAAGCCACGTCTGAGGAAGCCAGGACGTCCAAACTACGGGGTTCAAGCCAGGAGGTGGAAGCTAAGGAAGCCTAACCCATTTTAATTCCCACTTCAGGTGGAATACTCATTCCGTCTGTGGTTGGCGCTCTTCGGGAAGGAGTTGGAGTACGTTCTGAAGATGGCTTTCGTCCACTTGAGCTTCGAGACTGATGTCTTCCTCCACCAGTCAGAGCTGACCTTCGCCTACTGTAACATCTCCGAGTTGGGGTAGGTAGTGGAGGTGGACGGGTAGTGGGTGCACGTGGATGGATAGGGATTGGGTGATAGGGGTTAGCAGAAAAGCGTGTGAGGGAGAGAGAGAGAGAGAGTGGAGATGTAAGTGAGGGGTATGGAGGTTGTGGGCAGTATGAGAGCATGGGGTGGAGATGGGGAGTGGGGGGGGGGGGGTATTTGGGGCATCAGTGGAAGTTGGTAAATGGGAAATAGGTTGAGAACAAAGGTGATTATAGAGGTGTGGATGTGAAACATGAGTGTGTGTGTATACATGATAACACGATAACTCACCCTTATACCGTGATAACCGCTCCTCATGCCGCCCTACAGACCCGTACACTTCAAGGAGAAGGGAGCGGGACCTTTGGACACGCCCTTGTACAACCTACTGGCGAACACACTGGTAGGGGAGCTCCACGCCCTGATCTCCGGTACACTGCAGAAGGCCGTCTGCGCTCTGCTGGAAAACGCCTTCGCTTCCGGATAGCGCCTATCCGTTTCACCTCTTCACTAGCCTCGACGGGGGACAGGAAGCCTGCAATATGTCCTAGTGAAGATAATGTAGTAAAAAAATTCACTCCTATCCATTATCTCGTGGTTCCTTTAAGGGGGAACCCGTTAAAACGGCTTTTGTTGATCCGGATAAGGTCCGGTGCCCGCGGGGTCCACCCTGACCTTCAGTATCGTAATATCGTACATTAATACGGCCTCTCAGGTCTTACGATCTGTGATGAAACCTCATCTTACGATCTACTCTTCTAAGACCCTTCCGGCCATCCTGCTATATATAAATTTAATATAAATCCGACGGTGTTTAAATGCTTTCCAGACAATATACTTTCGCATTTATATATATATATATATATATATATATATATATATATATATATATATATATATATATATATATATATATATATATATATATATATATATATATATATATATATATATATATATATATATATATATGTCGTACCTAGTAGCCAGAACTCACTTCTCAGCCTACTATTCAAGGCCCGATTTGCCTAATAAGCCAAGTTTTCCTGAATTAATATATTTACTATAATTTTTTTCTTATGAAATGATAAAGCAACCCTTTTCTCTATGTATGAGGTCAAATTTTTTTTATTGGAGTTAAAATTAACGTAGATATATGACCGAACCTAACCAACCCTACCTAACCTAACCTAACCTATATTTATAGGTAAGGTTAGGTTAGGTAGCCAAAAAAGCTAGGTTAGGTTAGGTTAGGTAGGTTAGGTAAACGAAAAAACATTAATTCATGAAAACTTGGCTTATTAGGCAAATCGGGCCTTGAATAGTAGGCTGAGAAGTGAGTTCTGGCTACTAGGTACGACATATATATATATATATATATATATATATATATATATATATATATATATATATATATATATATATATATGTCGTACCTAGTAGCCAGAACTCACTTCTGAGCCTACTATGCAAGGCCCGATTTGCCTAATAAGCCAAGTTTTCATGAATTAATTGCTTTTCGACTACCTAACCTACCTAACCTAACCTAACCTAACTTTTTCGGCTACCTAACCGAACCTAACCTATAGAGATAGGTTAGGTTAGGTTAGGTAGGGTTGGTTAGGTTTGGTCATATTTCTACGTTAATTTTAACTCCAATTAAAAAAAATTGACCTCTTACATAATGAAATGGGTTGCTTTATCATTTCATAAGAAAAAAATTAGAGAAAATATATTAATTCATGAAAACTTGGCTTATTAGGCAAATCGGGCCTTGCATTGTAGGCTGAAAAGTGAGTTCTGGCTACTAGGTACGACATATATATATATATATATATATATATATATATATATATATATATATATATATATATATATATATATTAAAAATTTCTTGGTGTAAGTGTGAAAGGTTCAATAAAGCAACAGAGCTGACCAGCAGCTGGTTTGTACTTAACTGCCAATTATGGGTCGTTAGACGGTGACCTTGACACCACCTTCACTGATTGTGTAAAAAAAAAAAAACTGATTGTGTTGGGGGGGGGGAAGGTGGGGGGAAATGGGGGGGAGGGGGGGTGAAAGGAGAAAGAGGTGAAAGAGGGGGTGTGGAGAGAGAGAGAGAGAGAGAGAGAGAGAGAGAGAGAGAGAGAGAGAGAGAGAGAGAGAGAGAGAGAGAGTTACTCGGTGTTCGATTTCAACTCTCTCTCTCTCTCTCTCTCTCTCTCTCTCTCTCTCTCTCTCTCTCTCTCTCTCTCTCTCTCTCTCTCTCTCTCTCTCTCTCTCTCTCTCTCTCTCTCTCTCTCTCTCTCTCTCTCTCTCTCTCTCTTTCTCTGTTTCTCTCTCTCTCTCTCTCTCTCTCTCTCTCTCTCTCTCTCTCTCTCTCTCTCTCTCTCTCTCTCTCTCTCTCTCTCTCTCTCTCTCTCTCTCTCTCTCTCTCTCTCCCCAACAGAGGGGTCTCTGGACTTCGCTTCACCCTCTTTTCTTCCAGACCTTTTTGTGTTCTCTGATATAAGTGTACTCACCTAGTTGTGCTTGTGGGGGTTGAGCTCTGGCTCTTTGGTCCCGCCTCTCAACCGTCAATCAACAGGTGTACAGGTTCCTGAGCCTATTGGGCTCTATCATATCTACACTTGAAACTGTGTATGGAGTCAGCCTCCACCACATCACTGCCTAATGCATTCCATTTGTTAACAACTCTGACACTGAAAAAGTTCTTTCTAATATCTCTATGGCTCATTTGGACTCTCAATTTCCACCTGTGTCCCCTAGTGCGTGTGCCCCTTGTGTTAAATAAAGTCTCTATCTACCCAGTCAATTCCTATGAGAATCTTGTATGTGGTGATCATGTCCCCCCCTAACTCTTCTGTCTTCCAGCGACGTGAGGTTTAGTTCCCGTAGTCTCTCCTCGTAGCTCATACCTCTCAGCTCGGGTACTAGTCTGGTGGCTAACCTAACCTAACCTTCTCCAGTTTAGGCTTATGCTTGACAAGATATGGACTCCTTGATGGGGGGGGGGGAGAGGAAAGAAACTTCCAGAAGCTCTTAAAAAATATATATAAGGTATTATTTCTGTAACGTTTGTACGTATTGAAAATTAACGAGGCTATTTCCTTTTTCACTTGTTTGGTGTTGGGCTTGTAGCCTATCAACCTCTGGAGGGTTATTAAGGCCTATCAACCTCTGGAGGGTTATTAAGGCCTATCAACCTCTGGAGGGTTATTAAGGCCTATCAACCTCTGGAGGGTTATTAAGGCCTACCTCAAGGCCCTCTGGAGGGTTATTAAGGCCTATCAACCTCTGGAGGGTTATTAAGGCCTATCAACCCTATCTAACCTCTGGAGGGTTATTAGGCCTATAAGTTATTAAGGCCTATCAACCTCTGGAGGGTTATTAAGGCCTATCAACCTCTGGAGGGTTATTAAGGCCTATCAACCTCTGGAGGGTTATTAAGGGTTATTAAGACCTATCAACCTCTGGAGGGTTATTAAGGCCTATCAACCTCTTATTAAGGCCTATCAACCTCTGGACCTCTGGGGTTATTAAGGCCTATCAACCTCTGGAGGGCCTATCAACCTCTAGGGTTAAGGCCTATTAACCTCTGGAGGGTTATTAAGGCCTATCAACCTCTGGAGGGTTATTAAGGCCTATCAACCTCTGGAGGGTTATTAAGGCCTATCAACCTCTGGAGGGTTATTAAGGCCTATCAACCTCTGGAGGGTTATTAAGGCCTATCAACCTCTGGAGGGTTATTAGGGCCTATCAACCTCTGGAGGGTTATTAAGGCCTATCAACCTCTGGAGGGTTATTAAGACCTATCAACCTCTGGAGGGTTATTAAGGGTTATTAAGACCTATCAACCTCTGGAGGGTTATTAAGACCTATCAACCTCTGGAGGGTTATTAAGGCCTATCAACCTCTGGAGGGTTATTAAGGCCTATCAACCTCTGGAGGGTTATTAAGACCTATCAACCTCTGGAGGGTTATTAAGGCCTATCAACCTCTATCTAACCTCTGGAGGGTTATTAAGACCTATCAACCTCTGGAGGGTTATTAAGGCCTATCAACCTCTGGAGGGTTATTAAGACCTATCAACCTCTGGAGGGTTATTAAGGCCTATCAACCTCTGGAGGGTTATTAAGGCCTATCAACCTCTGGAGGGTTATTAAGGCCTATCAACCTCTGGAGGGTTATTAAGACCTATCAACCTCTGGAGGGTTATTAAGACCTATCAACCTCTGGAGGGTTATTAAGGCCTATCAACCTCTGGAGGGTTATTAAGGCCTATCAACCTCTGGAGGGTTATTAAGACCTCTGGAGGGTTATTAAGGCCTATCAACCTCTGGAGGGCCTATCAACCTCTATTAAGGCCTATCAACCTCTGGAGGGTTATTAAGGCCTATCAACCTCTGGAGGGTTATTAAGACCTATCAACCTCTGGAGGGTTATTAAGGCCTATCAACCTCTGGAGGGTTATTAAGGCCTATCAACCTCTGGAGGGTTATTAAGACCTATCAACCTCTGGAGGGTTATTAAGACCTATCAACCTCTGGAAGGTTATTAAGACCTATCAACCTCTGGAAGGTTATTAAGGCCTATCAACCTCTGGAGGGTTATTAAGGCCTATCAACCTCTGGAGGGTTATTAAGACCTATCAACCTCTGGAGGGTTATTAAGGCCTATCAACCTCTGGAGGGTTATTAAGGCCTATCAACCTCTGGAGGGTTATTAAGGCCTGTTAACAAATCACCATACAAATTACCTCTTCTTATGGAAGAAAAGTTATAAGTTAAATGACAATATAAATTCGATTTTTTATTTGTTTTGGGCGCCATTTTGAAATATAATGGAACAATTACACCAGAGTGTAAACACAGAAATGGCGGGAAGATATAGAAATGAATCCGCCATTCGTAAAGAAACGGGAATGGTACTACCAGGGGAAAGCGCCAAGCTATTACGACTATATAGCACTGGGTAGGGGTTAGGATAAGCATTTGGGATGGGACGGAGGGAAAGGAATGGTGCGCAACCACTTGTGGACGGTCGGGGGATTGAACGCCGACCTGCATGAAGCGAGACCGTCGCTCTACCGTCCACCCCAAGTGGCTAGACTGACAAACAGCTTCGTTTTTTTTTTCCCACGCAGCCCGCGGGCGTCGGGTCATAACAACACGGCGATCAATATTGGCGGCAAATTATTCCCAGCATTACTAACCAACTTCCGTCTCAATTTGGCGCGAAATCTTCCAGTGAGCAACTGGACGCACAGTGTTGCCAGATGTGTATTTTCCTACATCTATTTTATTGAAATGTGCCAAGATAATTTGTTTATTTATATTATTATATACTATATCGTATATAACTCCTACTTTAAACTTGTTAGCTTATGTTTTTTTAAAGCAACTGATGCGAGGTTCTTATTCTTGATATTATTAATAATTCATAGCGACAACCATTTGATGACGTCATTTCTCCGGAGTCACGTGACCCTCACGTGTCAGCGGTCAGTGCTGAAGACTTTCACTTGTTTTGCATGAATGGGCCGTCAGTCAGTTGTTTGCGGCCGCGCGTTCACTTATCATCAATTCTATACATGCTTCCAGTAACCGCGTACTGTGGTTATAAGCAAATTGCCACCCACTGGCAATTACTTAAGAGGATCGAAAGCTAAATGTGGCACTTTCGATAGACGCCGTGACCAGTAGCGGAAATTTGAATTTTTGAACGGCGATGAACGTTTGCAAATAGGGAGAGTCGCCATATATATGTCACACAAATTGCTAGGATTATATGTAGGTTTGCAAA